GCTGACGCTAGGGTCTGTGAGTGCTGAGGCTACAGTCTATGCTGAGACTAGAATCTGTAAATGCCTATACTAGAGCCTGTGAATGCTGATGTAGGGATCCGTGAATGCTGACGCTAGGGTCTGTGAGTGCTGAGGCTACAATCTATGACTATTGCTGCTAGAGACTGTGAATGCTGAGGCTAGAGTCTGTGAATGCTGAGGCAGGAGCATTTGAATGCTAAGGCTGGAAACTGTCAATAATGAGGCTAGAGTCTGTGAGTGCTGAGGCTAGAGTCTATAAGTGCTGATTATAGAGTCTGCGAATGCTGAGGCAGGAGTCTGTGAATGCTGAGGCTAGAGTCTGTGAGTGCTGAGGCTAGAGTATGTGAATGCTAAGACTAGAAACTGTCAATAATGAGGCTAGAGTCTGTGAGTGCTGAGGCTAGAGTCAATAAGTGCTGATGATATAGTCTGCGAATGCTGAGGCAGGAGTCTGTGAATGCTGAGGCTAGAGTCTGTGAGTGCTAAGACTATAGTCTGCGAATGCTGAGGCTAGAGTCTGCGATTGCTGAGGCTAGAGTCTATGAATGCTGAGGCTAGAGTCTCTGAATGCTGATGCTAGAGTCTGTGAATGCTGAGGCAGGAGTCTGTGAATGCTAAGGCTAGAAACTGTCAGTACTGAGGCTAGAGTCTGTGGGTGCTGACTCTAGCCTCTGCTGAGGTCTATAAATGCTGATGCTAGAGTCTGCGAATGCTGAGACAGGAGTCTGTGAATGCGGAGGCTAGAGTCTGTGAGTGCTAAGGCTGGAGTTTGTCAATACTGAGGCTAGAGTATGTGAATGCTGAGACTAGAGTCAGTGAATGCTGAGGGAGGAGTCCGTGATTGCTGAGACTAGAGTCAGTGAAAGCTGAGGCCAGATACTAATGCTAGAGGCTGAATGCTGAGGCAGAAGTCTGTGAATGCTGAGGGCAGAGCTTGTGAATGCTGATGCTAGAGTCTGTGAATGCTGAGGCAGGAGTCTGTGAATGCTGAGGCAGGAGTCTGCGAATGCTGAGACTAGAGTCTGTGAATGCTGAAGCTAGACTCTGTGAATACTTAGACTAGAGTCTGTGGTGCTGAGACTAGAGTTTGTGAGTGCTGAAGCAGGAGTCTGCGAATGCTGAGACTAGAGTCTGTGAATGCTGAAGCTAGAGTCTGTGAATACTGAGACTAGAGTCTGTAAATGCCGAGGTAGGAGTCTGTGAATGTTAATACTAGGGTCTGTGAATGCTGAGACTAGAGTCTGTGAGTGCTGAGGCTAGAGACTGTGATGCTGAGGTTACAGACTGTGAGTGCGGAGGCAGGAGTCTGTGAATGCTGAGGCAGAAGTCTGTGACTTCTCAGGCAAAAGTCTGCGAATGCTGAGGCAAGAGTCTATGAAGATTGATGTTAGGGTCTGTGAATGCTGAGGCAGTACCCTGTGAATGCTGATGCTAGAGCCTGTGAATGCTGAAGCTAGTGTAAGCGAATATTGAGGCTATTGAGAGTAGAGTCAGTGAAAACTGAGACCAGAGTCTTTGACTGAATACTGATGCTAGAGTCTGTGAATGCTGAGGCTATAGTCTGTGAATGCTGAGGATAGGGCATGTTAATGCTGAGGCTAGAGTCAGTGCATGCTAAAGCTAGAGCCTGTGACGGTTAAGGTTAAAATCTGTAAATCCTATATCTAGAGTCAGAGAGAGCGGGTGCTACAGTCATTTGGGCTTGTCATTGAATTATTTAACTGAATAGAATCCGAAAGGTTTTGAGTTTGTATGTATGTGCTTATTCATCTAATAATGTCTTTGTTGGCTAATTAACCAAACTGAATGCCAAGCTGTAGAATAATTAACCTTGTTTTGCAGTGGAATTGTTTAACAATATTTAGTTAGAATAATAAACGCGCAATTGCTACAGGTCAGGATCGTTGAGATTTAAATGAAAATTTTAAAAATGTTTTAGAAAAATGTTAGCAAGAGACAAACTATTACTGTGGATACTATACCTCGCCCAACTCCTCTCCCTTGGTGAACAAAATGTAATTTTGAAAATCGATAATTAGGCAGACAAATACTAACCCCTTTTGCACTCTCTTCTAGGAATTCACCTTCATTTCAGCCCAGACACAATTCAATAAAAATTATATGGACGAGTATACGGTGAAAATTTACAATAAATCCACCGCGGCGGATATCTATTTTCGTATTATCCAAACATTCCCGCTAAATATGGGTCTGCGTGTTGTTGCAAAAATCCATAATCGTGTTATGTTCCAGTGTGAATTCAAATCGTGTGAATTTGAAAAGAAATCCGTTAAACGATTTACCGGATTTTTGCTGCCATGGCTGAAGCAAGCTTTAGGAAAAGCTATTTTTCCTAATAAGTGTCCATATGGCAAGGTAAAAATTTAATCGTAATAGGAATTTTTCTAATTTTAGTTCTTTGTTTTAGGGTAATTACTCATGGATTGGTATGAACTTACATGATTTGAATATTCCATCGTTTTTGCCAAAGGGTCGTTATGAAATCATTTCGTTTTGTTATATACCAGAGAAGCGTTTGAAAAGTCTATTGGCTAATTTGGATTTAGTTTTGGGAATGAAATAAAATGCCGTAAATATATGTTATCGAGTAAATAAATATACTGCTCAGATCCATGATCGATTAGACTCTAGTAGGCTCGACTTGATAGTATTTAGCTTTACGATCTCAGCACAGTTTCTTGCCTAAGCTTTCCGTTGATTTGGCCTAAATATCCACTGACTAGCCTTAGCATTCAACAACTGTAGCCTCAGAATTTTCAAATTGTTTCTTCAGTGTCCTGACGCTCTATTTTCTACGCTCGCAGATTCGAGCCTTAACATTCACAGACTTCAGCCTCAGATTTCACTGAAAAAAAAAATATCTTAGTGTTCAGAGACTCTAGTCTTAGCGTTCACTGACTGTATCCTCAGATTTTACAGAGTCTAGGATCAGCGTTCATAGATCCTTGCCTCAGCGTTCACTATATCTAGCCTCAGTAATCACAGACTCGAGTATCAGCATTCACAAACTCTACCCTTAGTATTCACAGACTATAGCCTCAGCATTCACAGACTCCTGCCTCAGCCATCAGAGACTCCCGATCCAGTATTCACAGACTCCTGCCTTAGCATTTACTGACTGTTGCAGATGAGTTCATAATCGGAACCTCAACATTCCCAGACCCTAGGCTCAGCATTTACAGATTCTACCCTCAGCCTTCACAGACTCCCGATCCAGCATTCACAGACTCTGATCTCAGTATTCATTGTCTCTAGCCTCAGCATTCACCGACTCTAGCTTCAGTGTTTCCTAACTCTATTCCCAGCATTCACGAATCTAGTCTCAGCTTTTATTGAGTCTAGGTTCAGCGTTCTCTGACTCTATTTCCAGTGTTCACTGTATCTAACCCCAGCAACCACAAGCTCAACTATCTGCGTTCTAAGACTCTAGCTTCAGCACTCAAACACTCTATCCTCAGCGCTCACATACTCTAGCCTCAGCCTTCACTGACTCTATTCTCAGTGTTCACAGACTCTAGAATTAGTGTTCAAGCTTCTAACCTCAGCGTTCAAAGACTCCAGATTCAGCGTTCATAAAATCTACTCGCGAAGTTCCAGATTCTAGCCTCAGCGATTATAAAATGTAGTATCACCGTGCACACACTTAACACCGACGTTCAGAGAATCTAGACTCAGAGTTCAAAGACTCTTGGCTCTACGATTTCTCAGAATATAGCCTCCGATTTCACTGACTCCAAATTCTGCCATCGTAGACTCTTTGTAGAATCATTCGCTGACTCTGTTCTCAGCATTCCCAGATACTAGCCCAATGTCCATATACTCTCGACTCAACTTAAATCGACTCAGACCCTAACTGACTCTAGACTCAACTTTTATTTTAGTCTCAGCGTTCAGGCCTTAAACCTCAGCATTAGCACACACAAACACTGGGGACAGAGTCCTCAGTGTTCAGTGACTCAAGTCTAATCCATCCCAAATTTATTTTAGCCCCAGGACTTTAGGATTAGTATTCACAGACTTTAGCCATTGCGTTCATGGCTCAGTATCCATCGAATTTAGGCCCAGAGTTAGCAGCCACCAATCGATTCGTTAACTACTCTAACCTCAAAGTGTTTAAGTTCTCATATTCTAGCCTTATCATGAGCGTTTCTAGGCTTTGCGTTCACAGACTCTAGCCTCAGCGATCACGGACTCATGGCCTACATTTTACAAATTCTAGCCTGCGCGCACGAAGCATCAAGCCTCATTGTTCACTCACACCATATTCAGATTCAAACTTAACGGACTCTGACTTCGACGTCCGTTAAGTTTGGCCTTAGTATTCAGTCTCTCTAATCTCAGCGTTCATTGACTCTAGTTTCAGCTTTGATGTACTCTAGCCTCAGTTGCCATCGACTTTAGTCTCAGCAAAGAAAGGCTCTACCCTCAGCATTCAATTGCTTTAGTCTTAACTTTACGTAGTTCTAACCTCGGCGTTCACTGACTCCAGGACGTACTGACCACAATCATCCTTTGATGGTTATAGTTAGCCTTCTCGGACTCTAGTCTCAACCTCTACTCTGGCTCTAGTATCAACCTTCATAGACTCAGAGTTCACTGACATTTTTAGGGTTCACTGACTCTGGCCAGCATTTTCTGACTGTAGAGTCAGTTTCTCTGACTTTAGACAATTCCATGTCGCAAGTTCTCAATTTTCACTGTATTTTAATTTGCTACGCAATTTGTTGATATATTATGATTATATTCCTACATTAATTTTATAACCTTTCCACTAATTAGAACTTCTATAACAATCTGATCTGTGTTCGCGTAAAACATAAGTAATTATAATTATTTTTTTTTAATTTCTGTAGATAGTAGGATTTTTTCCTAATTATAATTCATTTATAATTTTATGTTTGTTTACCAATCATGTGCAGATTTGTTTCGGTTAAACCATTTCCCTTCAGTTCTATAAAATGTATATTCGTAATGCAATCGCCACACTCAAACTGATACTAATTAGTCATGTATTGATATCCGAACTAAAGGTATATTTCAACTTCGACAATATTTTCTAATTTTTATCGAAACCTTTCTTTTTTTGTAGATATTGGAAAATTACAAAACCATTAACTTTCTGAAAGCCGAAACAGCGGTAAACAACTTCTATGTCCGTTCATATCGCATGGATATTCGTCGTGATCAACGTATAGCGGATATTTTCGTCGAAGTCATTCGTCAACTGCCAACAAATCTAACATTGCTAGTAACATTGAAATTGAAAACTACGGGAAAAGATCCCCAACAACGATCACCGACAATGTTTCAGGCAGAATTCAAAGTTTGTGATTTTCTTACCAAGAAGAATGCCCGGCTATCGGGATTTCTATTGCCATTTCTAAGGAAATCCATTGCCAAAAGTCAATTTCCCAAAGGCTGTCCAATACAAGCAGTAAATAATTGAATTTCCTTAGGTGCATGGATTATTTGTTTTTTTACAAGATTTTTTGTTGATTCTTTCAGGGAAATTACACATGGATTGGTCTTAACTTAGAAGAACTCAAAATACCGAAATTTTTACCCAGTAGCCAATATGATGTTACCGTGCTTACTTTTACACCGAAGAAAATGAGCAAGGATCTTTTGTGTAATTTACATTTGTTGACAGAAGTTAAATGAGGAATAAAATGAGAGATGTCTCCAGACTAAAAACCTCTGCGTTCACAGACACAAGCCGCGGGATTCATAGATTCAATTTTCAGCACATACAGACTCCGCCTTCCCAGCCATCACAAACTGTTGCCTCAGCGTTCATAGGCTCAAACATCAGGGCACACTGACTCTAGCCTCATCATTCTCAGACTCTGGCCTTAGGATTCGCAGACTCTACCAGCTACTCTACACTCCACGTTCACACGTTCTGACGCTGGCGTTTAGAAATTTACGAACTGTAGGCTCACAGACTCGAATCTCAGGGTACGATGACTCCAGCCTCATCATTCTCAGACTTTGGCCATAGGATTAGCAGACTCTAACTTCACATACTCTAGCCTCAGCATCCACAGACTATAGATTCAGTGTTCACAGACTCTGTCCTCAGCGATTACAGACTCCAAACTTAGCGTACACAGGCTCTAGTCTCCGAGTTCAAATATTCTAAGTTCATCGTCCACAGACTCTAGACGAAGAGTTCACGGATTTTAACCTCAGAGTCAACGTACACATACTCCAGGCTCAAATATATCAGACATTAGCCTCAGTTATCAGATACTCCATATTCAACGTTCTGATATTCTCGGCTCATATTTCACAAAAACTAGAATCGGTTTCCACAGAGTTTACGGACTCTAGCCTCGGCGTTGACAGACTTGAGTCTCATCATTCACTGACTATAACCTCGACGATCACGGGTTCGAGCATCAGCGTTCACCTAGACTCTAGCCGCAGCATTCACAGACTGTATCTTCAGTCTGTATCTTAGTCTCAGCATTCAAAGTTTCCGTCTCAGTGTTCACAGACTGACTGCCTCTATACAGCCCTGACAACAGCCAGTCTGACTGACTCTAGTAAGCCCTGACTGCAGCCAGTCTGACTTATTCTGGCGAATCCTGACTGCAGCTAGTCTAACTGACACTAGCGAGCCCTGACTGTAGCCAGTCTGACTCTAACCCTGAGTACAGCCAGTCTGACTGACTCTAGTCAGACCTGACTGCAGCCAGTCTGATTGGCTCTAGTCAGCCCTGACTGCAGCCAGTCTGATTCTAGTAAGCCTGACTGCAGCCAGTCTAACTGACTCTAGCGAGCCCTGACTGTAGCCAGTCTGACTCTAACCCTGAGTACAGCCAGTCTGACTGACTCTAGTCAGACCTGACTGCAGCCAGTCTGATTGGCTCTAGTCAGCCCAGACAGCAACCAGCCTGGCTGGATGTAGCCAGCCCTGACGGTGGCCAGTCTGACTGACTCTAGTCAGCCCTGACTAACCTCAGTATTCGAATAATCTTCACAGACTTAAACCTCAACGTACACATACTCTAGGCTCAGATATCTCAGACTTTAGCCTCAGTAATCAGATACTCCATATTCAACGTTCAGATATTCTCGCCTCATATTTCACAAAAACTAGAATCGGTTTCCACAGAGTTTACGGCCTCTAGCCTCGGCGTTGACAGACTTGAGTCTCATCATTCACTGACTATAACCTCGACGATCACAGGTTCAGCTACTCTAACTGACTCTAGCGAGCCCTGTTTGTAGCCAGTCTGACTGACTCTGTTCAACCCCGAGTACAGAGAGTCTGACTGACTCTAGCGAGCCCTGACTGCAGCCCTGCCTGACTCTAGTCAGCCCTGTCTGTAGCCAGTCTGACTGACTCTAGTTAGCCCTGTCTGTAGCCAGTCTGACTGAATCTAACCAGCCCTGACTGCAGCCAGTCTGACTGACTCTAGTCAGCACTGACTGCAGCCAGTCTGACTGACTCTAGTCAGCCCTGACTGCAGCCAGTCTGACTGACTCTAGTCAACCCTGACTGCAGCCAGTCTGACTGACTCTAACCAGCCCTGACTGTAGCCAGTCTGATTGGCTCTAGTCAGCCCAGACAGCAGCCAGTCTGATTGGCTCTAGTTAGCCCAGGCAGCAGCCAGTCTGACTGACTCTAGTCAGCCTGACTGTGGCAATTCAGCCCTCACCAGGACTGGCTAGATTCAGTCCTTACCGTGACTGACTGGATTCAGTACTTACCATGACTGACTAGATTCAGTCCTTACCATGACCGACTATAGCAAGTCCTCACCATGACTGACTACAGTCAGTCCTCACCATAACTGACTAATGTCAGAATTCAGCAGGACTGCCAATAGTCGGAAATCAGCAGGACTTTCAATAGCCAGTCCTCACCAGGGCGGAATAGAGTCAGCGCTCGCCAGGGCGCAATAGAGACAGTCAGATTGGCTATAGTTTGTGTCTAGTCAGCCCTGGCAATAGCAAGTCCTCACCATGACTGACTACAGTCAGTCCTCATCATGACTGACTAATGTCAGAATTCAGCAGGACTGCCAATAGTCTGAAATCAGCAGGACTTTCAATAGCCAGTCCTGACTGACTCTAGGCAACTGACTCTAGGCAGCTCTGGTGTTTTTTTTTTTTTTTTTTTTGCTTTCAATCGGGCAATATTTGCTTTGTCTTTAGTTCGTTGGTCTAGTCTGACTCTTGTCGCTCTTTTCAGGTTTGAACCAAGTCAGGTTTGATATAGTCAACTTGTTTTGTCTGACTCTATTGAACGCTGGTGTGATTGTTGTGATTCCATCAAGCCCCGATTTTGTCAGACTCTAGTCAGCCCCGCTTCTCTCACTTCTGATACGTTTATCGGTTTGAGTTTTTCAATATTGTTTCCAATCAATTAGATTTGAACAGCAGGTCTTTTTGAACGGATATCGATTATTTAGACAAACATTATTGTTATTTCAAATGGCGCCCAATTGTGACAGTAAAACAACACACACCTCTCAGCACAGTATATATTCCTACATTTAGAATATATATGAGAGTATGTGTGAGCGTGTGTGTGTATTTGTGAACCATTTTTCCAAATGAATGATTACACATATTATACAGCTGCAGGGCATGTTAACACCAAAGGCCTCTAAAAATGGTAGATTACAATTAAACCGAATGGAGAAATATGGCAAATACCCTCCAGACTACCTTCAATATTACATAGGGAATGATGAATCTGAAATATCCACCATCGTGTGGAGGAGGCTAGAAAACCAGGACAGAAGTAAATACTACTTCGAAATAAAAAATTAAAATACCACCAAAATTTTATTTCGAATGCAATGCTACAAATGGAAACTGTTTCGGTTTCAAATATCCCAAAAAATAACAATAGCGTTATTGTTTTTCTTGTTGTTGTCATTTTATTGTTGTCAATAAAATAGGCCGCTAAACATAACAGATTGATGGAGAAAGAGAAAAAATGCAGAGGAAACTAAAAAACGAACTGGAAAAAACGAAGCTTTGCATTTTCGGACTTTGGTTCTATGGCCAAGCGGAAATGTGTTTTTTCACAGTTTTTGTTACGGCTATGACTGCTATGGGCAATCAATGGTGTTGTTGGTGCTACGATATTTGACAATTGGTGATTACTTTTTTTGTTTTTTTTTTTTTGTTTTTTTGGAAGGCAGTTGTAATTTTTCGATACTAAATAACAGTTTTAGCCATTCAAAGATCCAATATTTTTGTTGGTTACTTTTTTTCAGTTTTTTCTGTCCCCAATTTTTATGGCGGTTGGAGTGGATTTTTGTTTTTTATTTTTCGAAGGACCTGCACTGCTAAATGATTGCAGTGAAAATGCTTTTGTTTTATTACTAACAAATAATATGATTGACACAATGGGAACGAGACAATACAATTGTTGAAACCAAATGAAAAAGCGGAATTTAATATCTGAACAGGCATTGGAATGATTCAAAAAAATTGGGCCTTTGAACAAAATAAATTAAAAGATCCACTCCTTTGTTAGCCTTAAAAATATATTCCTCTAAAAAATTCACGCCTATTGGAGTCTTAACAAATTATCCCCTTAAAAAAATCACGCCTTACGGACATCCGAAAAAATATTCCTTTGAAAAATTTACGTTTTATGGGCCTACGAAAAATTATTCCTTTAAAAAATTAACGCCTTTTGGAGTCTTGCCTAAATATTCTCTTAAAATATCAACGCCCTATGGACCACCTGCAAAAAATTCAAGCTTTATGGGCCTCCAAAAAAATATTCCTTTGAACAATTCACACCTATTGGAGTCTTGACAAAATATACCCTTACAAAATCGGCGCCTTATGGGCCTCTGAAAAAATATTTCTTTACAAAATCCACGCCTTATAGACCTCCAAAAAATATACCCTTAAAAATCCTCTGGGATCCTTAAAAAATACTAGTTTACAAAATCCTCGCCTTATGGACCTCCAAAAAAATATACCCTTAAAAATCCTCTAGGATCCTTAAAAAATATTCCTTTACAAAATCCACGCCTTATGGACCTCCAAAAAATATACCCTTAAAAATCCTGTGGGATCCTTCAATAATATTCATTTACAAATCCCCCCCTTATGGACCTCCAAAAAATATACCCTTAAAAATCCTGTGGAATCCTTATTAATTATATATAATAAGGATCCCTTATATTTCTCTAAAAAAAACCACGCCCTATGGACCTCCAAAAAAATATACCCTTAAAAATCCTGTTGGTACCTTATTAATTATATATATCAAGGATCCCTTATATTTTTTAAAAAAAATCCACGACTTATGGACCGCCGAAAAAATATACCCTTAAAAATCCTGTGGGGTCCTTATTAATTTTATATATATATATATATATATATATATTTCCAAAAAAAACGCCATTCGGAGCCTTCAAAAATATTGGTAATTTGAAAAAAATATTCCTTTAAAAAATCCACGCCTTATGGGCTTCCGAAAAAATAATCCTTTAAAAAATCCACGCCTTATGGGCTTCCGAAAAAATAATCCTTTAAAAAATCCACGCCTTATGGGCTTCCGAAAAAATAATCCTTTAAAAAATCCACGCCTTATGGGCTTCCGAAAAAATAATCCTTTAAAAAATCCACGCCTTATGGGCTTCCGAAAAAATAATCCTTTAAAAAATCCACGCCTTATG